TTCAGTCTGGATAGAAATTGAAAAGTTTGTTTTACTTCTGAATGTTCAGCAAACAGCAGTTCTGGAGTAATGTTATTGAGTGCAAATGAGTAATTCTTCAACAAATGACCTCCGTCTTGAATTTGAAAATCACGTTTAAAAGTTAGGAAAATATTTGCTATTTAAAAAAAAGTCTGCACTTTCATTTTTTTGGCAGCTGTCATCATTGTCATCAGGTTTTGCCTTCTCTGTTTTTTCTTTATGATATAGGTTGTTTATCACACTTGAAAGAAAAACCATATCTTTAAGAAAATCAAGTTAGATATTAAGTGAGTATTTTTAAATATGAAGGCCCATGTTTGAAGAAGACAGAAGATTTTGAATAGTCCCTGGAAGTGCAGGATCAGAGGCTTGATTTTGAGTTAAATTCCTGTTGACAACTGGTGACAGTTTTGTATATTGGAGATGGAATCAAATTTTTTATATGAGTTTTGTTTTTTTTATTCTTTGTTCGATGGGAAAAATTGGCTTTACCATTTCACATGGTTTTCTGGTAGTGATCTTTAATTGATGGTAGTGGAGGGATCTTTCGGTTGCAATAAGGGAGCATATATTGTACTGCAAGTTCTGCCTTTATACCAGGAGCAGGTTACATGATTTTCCTCATTCAGATAAAAGATTTCATGGAAGAAATATGTTGTTTCAGTGAACAGTTGTCTTAAACCCAAGCAATTAGACCAATACAGAAATAAGCTGGCTAATTCCAGGAGGTTCTGGAATTTCCAACTGTCTTTACATTAATTAGTTACATTTTGAGATTTGTGTGTATAGTTATAGAGGAACAATGTTTTTTTGTCTCCACTCAATCAGTATTTGCTCTTTTAAAGCAAGAGTGAAATACGTAGTCCTTTTTGAAAATTTGTAAGCAGTAGCTGTTGTTGCTTTTGGCAGCGATCTGGCAATCTGAGCTAACAAAATGTGCTGCAGTGGAGGTGATCTGTTTTGCCTTTGGGGTAGTCCTAGAAATGAGAGAGAGGCGCTGAGTAAGGAAAACAAATTAATATGCATCAGGAACATTTCTTTTTCTGTTTGGATTGCTGTTGAATCCCACAGTTTACAAAGTAAGTCTTAGACCCAGAAGGCTTTATTTCTGGTGGAACAGGAGTTCGGTGTATGAATATAAAGCAATTTCTGGCTGGAATGAGAGCTGCTGCCTTTTGCTTTCTGGCAGCAATAGCAGTTGATTAAGGGCAAGCCAAAGAGAAATTAGCAAGAGGCAGGTTGTGGTTACAGATATGAATAAGCCTTGCTGCTGTTTAAATGAGAGTTAACTGTGATTAACCCCTCTGTGTATCCACGGACGCAGTGGGGCTCTGAATAGCAGCAAGTTTGAAAAGAGTTGGCACTATTTTCTCCCTTTCGTGAAAAGAAATTGCGAGTTCAAATATGTTTGTTTAACAAATATCGAAGATGTTTCATTTCCAGTGACATCGACGTCTTTACTGTCCAAAGTTTAATCTGTGGGCACCATCTCCATAATCTAAAGTACCGTGTATGGCAGCCCCCTCCCGATAAGCTTGCGCTGTGTGTAGAGCCTCGAGCTGTGTAGTGAAGCGGGGCAGTCCTGGAGACAGGTGCTGAAATGATCGATTTCCGAGCCTTCGTCATCTCGGCAGTAGTGGTGGCAGCAGTAATGCTGATAATAATGCAGAGACAAGAAGCCGCCTTTCCATTCCCACATAAATAACCCAAGCAGGCGCAGGGCACTCCAAACAGGACAGCCTCAGGATAGACGCTTTCTTTCAAATGTCAGTTTATGTAAAATAATAGGCTCCTTACTGTAGCTTATTGTTCCTCATGAATGGCTCCATGCAGTAAACTCATGTAATCTGCTGGCTCGCCAAATGGTGGCTGCCCTAGCAGAGTAAAGGAAATTGATCAAGCCAGCTGAATTGCTTATGTGACGTCTTAGTTAAGAATTGTTATTGGTAATATTAATGCTGATAATAATAGCCTTAAAAGTAAAGACTACCGTTCATTCACTTCCATTCCCATTCATGGATAAAAAAAAGAATCATTTTGACACAGGTTACATTTTAATGTAGAGCTGTGTAGTGCAGTAATGAATAAACTACCCCCCAATCAAGTAGTCTTTTGGGGGGGAAAAAACTCTCAAATCTTTAAGCTCCTCAATCCTAAAGAATGTAAACCATGGAAAATAGAGACCAAGCATAGCAAGTGAGAATAGAAATGTAGTTTCTTCACTATATTTACACCTGTCTGTATAATTGGACAGTTATCCTTCTCCAATTAGAATGAAACATTCTTAAATTAGTACAGTCAAAATGTCCTAAAGGAAAAAGCAATGACATCTCACAGATCTGGGTAATTTTTGGAGGAACTGAGGACAGCTTCACCCACTGGATGGTTTATGTAGTATAATAAACATTTTATAAAATATTAACCAGAGAAATTAATTTTCATCATCTACAGTATGTTTTTTATTCTATAAATAATATTGTTGCATTTTTAGGTATTTTACACAGATAGATGTAGACTCCTTTTGTCACAGTGTCAGTGGGTTGGCAGATCCCTTTGGAAGATTCACGATATCCCGAAAATCCCTTGGCTGGTTAATAAAACTGTAGTGAGTGATGAATTAGGAGAGTGTGCCCTTCATGCCTTGATTGAAAGATATAGTCGTCAACATCATTTTTTAATAGCATGAGTATTTATTACATAAATTGCTTGTGCTACCCCGATCCTTTCAATATGAAACTAACAAATCTGAAATCTGGTCTGCCATCACTGAAGTATAGCATAGCTTGAAAGAAAAGACTATTTCATTGCAGTCCTTCCATAGGACATAATTCCTTCTTCTACATATTTACTGTATGTGAAATGTTTTAATAATGGGGGAGGGAATTTCTGTTGTCTGCTGTATTTATGTTGTATGCTGTATCTCCCATGCCTTTTTCTACAAAAAAAAATTGTTGACAAGTAAAATATATTAATCTTTTCTCTGTACAATTCTGGAATCTTTTGAAAAGTAGCATATTTTTCTGGTTATGTTCACAGGAAAAATCATTTGTTCCCATTTCTCTTTCACAAGGAAACCTAAAGGTTGTCTTTCAATGAAATATTTTTTGCTTTTTTGATTACTAATTGTGTTTGATCAGCTGGTGAAAGAACTTAAAGAATTAAATAGAGGCAGAAGCAATTAAAATGACAGAAAAAAGACAGTCTGAATACTATATAATGCATTGTAAGGACTTCCAAGGATTTTTTCAAGGTGCTTTTCTTATTGTAGAATTTCAGTGGATATGAAAGAATTAATCTGAACTATTAACCCATTTGCTTTCTGCTGCATACCATAGAAAATCAGTACCATAGAAAGTCAGCTGTTGCTCTCTTGTGGTAAACTTAAGTGTACACAAAATAAGTGACTTTTTAAGGATTATGATTATAAGTTATTTAGCCATTACCTCAAATAATTTCATAATGTGATGTTGCCTGGTATTAGAATACTGTAGCCATGAGGAATAAAAGACCCAAAATGTACATTACAAGACCTGAATTGCTAATTAGAAGTTCTTGAACTATACTGTAGGTTTAGGCTCTTGAGTGGCTTGACTAATAGTCTTTTCAGTAGGATCTTAGGCTGGGTGCTGTAGTCCAAAGATCACCGATTTGTTGGAACCAGCTGTGACTAGGTACTATATGTGTGTCTAAGGGATTATATCCACAATTTTGACTCTGCCCTTCTGGGGCAAGGTAAATTCAAAGTAAGATGAAGTTTCCTTGCCTTGTCATGCCTCCAATACGACTCTGAGGCTGCAATGCTGTTGATGAGGGTTTCATTTGTTCTCCATCTCATCCCTTCTTTTTAGGTTTGTTCCGTATTCTTGTACTACAAGAATATGGTTTTTGTATCGTGTATCTCCTTAGAAATATACAGTGCATATTCACCTCTTCCATGCTGGAATAAGGGTCCTAGGCAAATGTTCATCCCAAAATTTGTCATATCAAAAGAGAAAAAAAGTGTTTCCTAGTTTTTATAAGGAGAACAAATCTGTGGACTGCATTATAATGCTGTTTAGTTTGTAAAAATCACAAATCTTCACTTTTAGTAAGCCGGAGAGTTTCCTGAAATGGTAACCATTGATAACAATTACATTTTTCATGACCAATGTTGAAAAGGAAAGGATAAGACTTCATAAAGCTGAATGGGCTCTGTCTGCCACTATTGCTGTGAAGAGTGGTCTCTGCTGTTTAGAGGTAGTCACAATAATTGCATTCTTGGATTTCTCGCTGCCCATGGCTTCTTTCCTTGTAATAAATTGGCTGGCTTAGAGATGCTCATTGCTGAAACATTACCTTAATAATTGGTATTACTCAGAGACCTTGGTGCATTTTGCTAATTCTAAAACAAGTAGTAGTTCTATCCACATGCTAAGATATAAATCATCCCATTTTGTTCTAATCCAATGTTGGCCTCTCCCATGGAACTCTTTCATTTGATTAAACTGCCTTTCTCCCCCCAAAATATGAGCATTTGTTTCCTTTTTTTTAGATAATCACTAAATCCAGGCTCTTCAAAACAGGTTCTCCAATTGTTACTTGGGAAAATATTACTTTTAGGAGGCTACAGTCAAAATGTATATTACTGTTTGGCTTTAGAAAATGTAAAAGTTGCAAAAAAAAAACTGCCAGAATCTAAATTTGAAGATTTAACCTCAGAGAGCTTTTTCTTTCTGGAAAGCTAGTTTATAGAAAGTTTATAGTTTATAGAACATTTATAGAAACAGTAGTTTGAAGGGTTAGTATTGTTGGATACATAAAGCCCAATTAATGAACAATTTTTCACATTATTGGATGCCAGAGGAAAATTTGGGTTCAGTAACAGTTTGCGGTCATCTCACATCACATGCTGTACTATTCGAGTGGCTTGTCTAACAAAAAGCTTGTGAATTTCGGATGTTGCACCCACTGAAAAGCTGCTCTCCTCTCTGTTTTCACAGGACTGCCCTCAGATCCTCCCATCTACTCAAATCTACATCCCAGTGGGTGTCGTGAAGCCCATCACGCTGGCAGCCAAGAATCTCCCACAGCCGCAGTCTGGCCAGAGAAACTACGAGTGCATCTTTCACATCCAAGGCACGGTCATCAGTGTCACAGCTCTGCGCTTCAATAGCACCAGTATTCAGTGCCAGAAAACCTCGGTGAGTTCCGTGCCCCCTTCCAGAACACCTCTGAAGAGCTGCTGCTGTCTCACTTAGGCAATAGTACATCTGTCACAGAATATGCTATATTAGCAGGGCAGGGTATGCGTTATCATTAAGATATCACTCTCCCAAACAAGTAACAAGTATAGTATTACAGTATATCACAACTATACAATCATTATTAAGTCATTTTCAGTATAAACAAGAATATACAATATAACAGAACTCGCTCTGTGCCAAAATGTGCAATAAGTGGATACATTAGCAAAAGTGATAAATTTAAGTTTGAAAGCGGTTTCATTTATAACATTTAGAGTTGATGATCCCATTGCAAATATAACCTCTATGGTACCGGTTTGGGCTATTTAATAGCTGAATGTTCTAAGTGGAGTACAGTAGGTATACCACTGTATGTTAGAAGATCTGAAGAACATGAAGTTCTCCTTAATTAAAGATGGATGTTTAGAGGTTATATGGAACAATAAGCCAAGAATATTGTTTGTAATAATTGTTTTGCTCTTGTGTACAGTAGAATCAGACCAATGTTAAGAAGACAGTTACAATTCTACCAGGTACAATGAGAGGTATTTTTTTTGCTTCATCCAGTTTTGGACAAGCTAATACAGGTACATTTTAGTACCTTTGGATAGGCATTACAGTTTTGTCTGATTCATATAATCCGCTAGAACTCTGACAATCACCAGGTTAGGAAAAGATGCCGAAGACAGAGGACAGGCATTTTATTTAAATTTGTGTCCAGAGTTTGGAAAGTTTAAGATCATTCAAAGAACATTTTCAGAATGTATTTTTAAAAAATACACTTGGATTACAAAGAGCACTAGGAAGCAAAGTGCAGAATTGTTTCAGCATTTAGACAGTTCTCAAAGACACAGGAGAAAATTAAATAAGCTGTTTTTTTGTGGAGAAGATAGATTACAAAAATCCAGCTCTAGCATCCTGTGTCCTTTTCATTTTGATTTTCAAGATGGAATTTTTATTTGTTTCACAATCTTCAGCATTTTATTTTATTTTATTTTTGTTAAGTCTAGCCTTGCAAGAATATGTGTGAAGCTAGTATGGAGAGTAAAAGGGGGGATGAGGTTTTTTTTTACTTTCATTTACTCATGCTGTGGAAATTCTTAGAACTACTACATTATCCTGCTGTATCTCCAACAGACCATTTCCAGCCAAGCCCTTTCTTCATCTTGGCAGCTGGATCATCTTATCCAAACTAGTTATCCTGCTCATTGCTTTTGAAAAATGGTTTGTTTAAGCTGTGCTCCTGCTCAACCCTGCTTCGTCAGGATAGACCATATTTCTGTACCTCTTCAACTCCACCCCGCAGTCACCCCATTTTTCTTTGTCTCTTCTCTCACAGTTTGGCTGACTCACTGGAGGTATTCACTATTAAAAAGAAGGGAGAAGGTCAATACGAAAAAAGAAAGCTAGGTGGGCAAAGTGGGAGGATTTGTCGGGGGCAGTTGAGGTGCGAAGGTGTTTTGGGGATTTTGTAAAGCTCATTGGATGTGTATAGTGCCCAGTCTCCCCAGTGGTCTCTGCCTGTTCACACTTGTTATTCTCACTGGGAAATGTAGAGTCCTGTGATGAATTGGCTATGCTTTACCTAAAGGATGAGAGGGGGCCAAAGTGGAATGTGTGATACAGGGCTCTTTGACAGCCACGTTTTCTGCTTGATACTCTAACATAGCATGTTAACTTTTGTTTTGACTTGCAGTTAACAGACTGTCTGCCTCTTGCCCGTTTCATTGTTCTTAGCTTTTTCTTCAGGGTCTTGGCAAAAAACACAATCTCAGTCATGGATGAATTGCTATTATAGAATGCAAAAAATCTTAATTTTGAGCCAATTTACAGTTCAGTAGATCAGTTTTGCTGCAGCATGGACATAAATTAGGTGTTGTTGATTTCAAATGATTTTCAAAAATGAGGACCTGGAATTAGTGGCTTTAATTACATTGTTGCGAAGAGGGGTTAGGAAAATAGAGAAATCCAAAAACTGGCCAAGCAGGATAACAAATAATAAAATAGTTATAACCCCCCAAATAATATACCACACAGGTTGGTATAACTAGAGACACTTGATTTCTTTGTTTTCTGGCACAGATTTGGTGAAAAGAAGAATAAATCAGTTGCATCAGGTTTCAAAAAAATCTTAACAATGACAATGATGCACACTAAGCAATACTACACAGCATACAATTTACACTGCTTACAAACAAGATATCCCAAAGTCCTGACCAACCAGAAAACCCCCAGATTAATACCAGGTATTCAAAGATTCTGTACAATACCAACACAGGTCAGAAAGAGATAAACCTGCCTTATAAACTAAACAGTATACGACCTGCAGTTAAATCTCTCTGTATAAATTTGGATACTGCAAAGTGAAGAGGAAATCTATCTCCCTATTCTAATAATGCATACATTAACCAGGAGAGGCCATTTCTAACCTAGGAATTTTCTATACAGGATATTGGTATTCTAAAAGTCAAAGTTCTCTTAAGAAGGTTCATTTACTTAAATCTGTCCTTTACAGGTGATATGACAAGGACCTCTCACCTAGCACATGCTTTTTGCTCTTTCCTTCTGTCTTTCTTCCTCTTACCATGTCCTCCCCTGTCTCTATCTGCCTGCCTATCTATCTGTCTTTTTCCCCTGTTCCTCAACTGTTTATGACCCTTAATCATTTGCCCATAATTTCATTAGCCAGTGTAAACATGACCATCCTTTTCATCAATGTGTCTCAGACCCCATACAGGTCCTCAACCACCTCAGTTCTTTTCTTGCTTGGGAGTTCGGGAGAATTATAAATGTTAACACGAGCTACTGTAGGTGTTGGACCATTGTCTCTAAATTCTTAGACAACTGAAAATCCCTTTTCATTATGTGTAACGATATTAATGCTATGATTGACAAAAACGGCTTGCACTTGTAAGTGCATTAATCTCAAAGAATCGTGCTATACTCATATGGGCATTCACATCAACCAATTAATTGCAGTACCTACTTTGTTTGTACTGTATGTTTTTAGTCTAAATCTGTCCTCAGTTTTACTGTTCCATTGATAACATACATTGTGTATAATGTAACCATGGGACTGTTCCAAACCTAAAGCCATTATGGCATAATGTTATATATATTTGACAGCTGAATGCCCTTTGGTTAAAGTCTTTATTGACAACTATTACAGGGATGGAAGCTCAAAAGGTTTCTGACAGAAAGCTAATTAAAGTCTTGGAGCTTAGAAGCAGTACCTTCTAAAGAGGCATTTATTGACTATTTGCTATTCTAGCTTGCTATTTGCAAACAGCAGCAGAAAAAAAGGTTCACATTCTTCGCATTGCTGTATCTTTAAACGATGTTATTTTGTATAATAATACTGAAAGCAAAATGCATTTTCTTCACTGGTTCTTGTATTTTGTTAAACTGAAAATGTCTCTTTTTTAACGTAAAAAAACATAATGCATCCAAATGGCGACAGCTTCATTGAATCCCACAAGCAACACAACAGCTGCCATTACCACTGAGCTGACACTGTCTCTTGTCACTTAGGATAGCATAGCGTTTGCTAATTGTTACACATTACTTCACACCAAACTTTGCCCTGTCCTTTTTGTTGATTATTCACTTGTTTTCCAGCTGTCCTGATTCAAACCCTTCGCAATATCCAGATTTGCCTAATGGCAACATCTGACACTCTGGAGTCTTTAGAACGGAAGCCTCAGCATGGATCATTTAATGTTCAACCCCTGGAGAGGGTATCGCTTTTGTCACAACCATTTAGTGCTGCATCCAACTATGCTGCTAAGATAGGCTACCAGAAAACCTATAATCCTGGCAAAGTTCTATGCATCTCATGTTGTTTCACCACTGTCAGTGTTATCATGGTTTGTTCTTTGGGTCTGTCCTGAGTTTACATTCCCTGTGCCTTATAAATGTAGCGTCAATGAAAATTCAGTCTGCTGAAAGGGTTGAAGCACTTGGTCCTATATTAGTTTATAATTTAGCATCCAGAATAATTCACTTTACCTGGATAAATGCACAATTTATGCCTATATAACAGTGAAAACAACAATCTGTCCTAATGGCACTAGATTGGATTCCTTTTTAAGTAGTTCATGTTGCTCTTTATACTGTATACTGCCTATACATTAGCCATGGCTCTAGACAGACAGATAACAGGATGATGTTTTTAACATCATTCTGTATTCATTGGCCTCCTGATAGTAATGTCTTGCATCGACTGGAGGTTGTGAAAATGTCCATGTCTACTGTATAAATTTTTCAGTAGAAAGCACATAAAGGAAAAAAAAAAAAGAATGAAGGAAACCTGTGCTTGCTAATCGATTGAGTAAACAAGGGGATGTTAATCCTTGGTTTAGCCTGCTGTGAACTGCAGGCAAGTGTATCGTTTGTACATTAGCTCATTGCCTTTCAATGGGAAATTGCATTCATCATGCTTGCTGACTGTTTATAGAGAGGGCTGCCATTGACTAGACTCTTCTCTGTTTGCAAAAGACTGGCTTCACTTCATCAAGGAGGAGTAAGGTGCATCAAGGGGAACAGGAGGTGTAAGGCTTGGGGCATTTCATCAGGAAAGAGAATATCTTGTTTCTTAATAGCATATTTCACCAGGAGATGTCTTTCTAGAACTGAAGTTTGATAATAACATATTACACATACTCTTCTAAAGATTCAGTGTTTTATATGCATAACTGTAATTTGGAGAAAAAAAAAGCTTCATTTATTCATTGTGGGTTGATTCATTATTTATATAATGTGGAGCACAAGATGTTTGAAACTACGTTGTAGATCAGCCAGATTGCAATAGCTTCCTTTTCATCTCTGAGGAGAGGCTGCTATGGTGCTTGGGTATTCATTACAAGTAATCCCATCTCCACTAGAATATTAAAAAAGGATTCATAAATGGGCTTAATTCTTCTAAAAATACTAAAATTCCATTAGGAAGAGGCTCAAAG